TAGCAGTTGACATCTGAGTCAGATGACCGCCTGTATTACTTGGGATAAATGCGGGGGTACCTATTAAGTTAATAGCCAACAAACATTGGCGAATCAAGGGGTCTAGCCGGCCTACGCCGCCTGGTACCTCTACTTCTCAAACAAAAGTGACGGCGACTGAGTAACTCCAAAGTTAACTCATAGTCACTCCTTCAAATTTGGTATGGAATCTAAAAAGTTTGAGTCGTCCGCCTGTTTTAAACAAACAAGGGCACTCGAACCCCTATTCCTACTGGATAACCTATTGAGTTAATAGCCAACAAACATTGGCGAATCAAGGGGTCTAGCCGGCCTACGCCGCCTGGTACCTCTACTACTCAATCAAGATTGTGACGAATACTAAGTAACTCCTATGTTAACTTAATAGTCACTCAAACTTAGTAGGGAGCCTAAAAGGTATGAGTCGTCCACTTGTTTTTAATAAACAAAGGCTCTCAACCAATACTCTTGCTAGGTTAACAAATTACGAGTTAAAAGCCAACATTGGCAATAAAGGGAAACAACCAGTACCCGCCGCTTGTTTTCCTACTTAATTCCTTGGCGACTAGGTAATTCTATTTACTTGGTCAGACAAATTGAATAAAGAGTTCGAATACCGATTGAATACATGGCCGACTGATCATCTATCCTGGAAACAGACAACCAGTCGTCCAGGGGCATAGGCGGCATACTTACTATTTGTACCTGTCTTAACGTTCGGCCATACACAACAGTCGGTCTAGTGAACAAATTAAAAATACATAGACAAATTTGAACCAAAACAAAAATTTGATTAAAAATGAGCCGGCCATTAAAGACCAGCAGAATATTCAAAACCCCGGCCCCCTGGCCGGGTAATTACAAAGCAAACGGCACGCAGGCCGTGAAAAGAAAAAATACTTAAAGCTTAAGAAGGGGGCAGTTCAGTATCAGCAGCTGCCGCCTGGTCAGCACTCTTCTTGCTGGACTCGGCCTTAGCTGCACCCTCTTTTGATGCCTTACCCCCAAGTGGCACAAGCGCCACAACCGGCTCTTCCTCCTCCAACGCACCGTCCAACGCCTCTTCTTCAGCAGCCGCCAGGATCTGTTGATTATATATTTCCGAACACTGGCGGTACGTTCTTTCCCATGAGGCAAAGTCGGCACTGGGGAACAGTCGTTCCCAGGTCATGCGCTGGATTTGAGCGGAGTCTTCCACCATCTCCCGGACGAGCTCTTGTTTCTCTTGCTCGGCCTTATCCGAGAGCTCTTGGGTAAGACTCTTCTCTTGGTTCACCAGGCGTTCTTTTACGTTGGCCAAAGATTTCTCCATGGCTTCGTAAGAGTGCATTTTTTGGCGAAGAGGTTTCAGCTCGGCCTTAAGGTTGGTAACGGTCGCCTCCAGCTCGTCAACCTTCTTTTGGGCCGCCTCTAACTGGGCCCGAACAGCGGCGGTAGCCTGCGCCTGATAATAAAGAAGATCAATGGTCAGTACTTCATTTTGGGCAATTTGAAACATTGCCTTATCACAACTGGAGGCGGCCATAGCTTTTGCGGCCTTTACCTCTTTGTTTTTCCGATCAATCGGCTTGCGAAGGCTGTTGACTCGGAGCAGGGCCTTAGTACAAAGAAAAACAGGCGTCAGTTTCCAATCAAAAAAGTTAACAGGCGTCCTGGAACTCAAAAGCTCAAAAATATGCTAAGTATACCTCAGCTAGGACCCCTGAAATCCCATCAAGGTCAAGGGTGCCGGCACCCCTGACCGCCTCCCTGTCAGATGGAGGAACTACTTTAACCATAGACTTGGCTACCTCAACCAAGTCAAGTCCCTGGGGGCCGGCTGCCTTAAGCGAAAGGATAAAACAAGTTAGACCTAATCAAGAAGGAAGCAAGGGTGAGTTTTTACTAGTGAGTGTCCATACATCTAGGCGGCCCCGCCTGGGTTTTTGAAGTAGTGGCCGGCTGCTTCTCAGCCGCCACTGTTTTCCTGGAAGACCCAGGAGAGCTTGCAACAGTCGTCCTCCGGGCCTTGGGGTCCGGCTGTTGCGAGGAAGAAGCCCTTGGAGTACCAGACTGAAAACAAAAAAGAGTTAGTATATGCATAAGACAACTAAAAGAGGAAGAGTTTTCGAAGCTAACCAAGGGTGCCTCCTTGTTAGGGGAGTCGGCATACGACTGTTTCATGAGCGAGGCCCGCAATATGGCCGCTGCAGTCTTGGATGCTGTTATTTTACTCATGGCGTCAGCTGCAAGAAATAAACAGCAAAGTTAGTAAAAATCCCAAGTAAACAAGGCGTGAAAAAACAGAGTATTTGTCAGGCCGGCTACCTCTAGAGCACCGACTGCTGAGGCCACAGGCGGCCAAAAAGTACTCGTCATAGAGCCACTTGAAGCTCGGGACGCAGTTTAGGGGTACTTGCTCTCGTACCCCTGAAGTAGAGTTCACCCTAGTCTCTACTTTGAAGAGTCCTTTGTCTAGGATCTCTTTTTTAGCCTTTGGGGGAACAGGCGGCATGCTGCGGCCGCCTGCGAGAAGAGGCGGATCCCTATTCCACTTGTTAAAACGTTTGTTCAGCTCCGTGTCTGAACCCTCGATAATAAGGAAGGTGTTCCGCCAATCCTTCCATTTGTTCGCCTTACCTCTCGTCATGAGGTAACCCCTATGGCTTGTTAATTGATACCAGCCGGTACCTCCCGACTTAGGGGTCCGGCTGAGATAGTTCATGTGGGCGAAAGCCTCAAAGCTTGGCTCCACCCCGTTCATTTCGCACCCGGCCACATAGCCGAGTACGTTTACCCAAGAGTTGGGGGCTAACTGCCATAACCCCAGATCATACCCATCTAAAATCCGCTGAACAGCCGGATGTAATGGGAAGCGCAGTCCAGCTTTGATGGCCGCCACATAGCAGCCAAAGCAGCCGTCACCATAGCTGGTACCAGCCGGCCAGACGACAGTGTCTTCTGGATCCGGCACGAACAGTAAAAATTCCGGGCCCATTTTGTGGTTAGCAATAAAGCTCGCCACGTTGTCTTGCATGGTTGCGATCCGGCCCCGGGGTACCCTGCAGTAGTAGGGGGCGTTTTCCTCTCTGTAAGAGGCGGACGGCTCCGCCCAATTGTCCCCCTTCTCAACTGCATGAGAACGTCTCGCCTCTTGTAGGCGGCTATGTTTTTCTTCTGAGCCAGGAGAACTGTGGCCAGAAGAGCTGGACTCGGACTCGTCCTCTGACGAGTCCGAAGAGGACGACTCCTCCCCTCTCCTAGAGGGGCCCGCCTCCTCTCCCTTAGAAGGAGCAGGAGGGAAATTAGACATGTCAACGGTAAGATGGGAAGGGACCACCTTGGCCCCTCTCTCAGAACTGTCGGCTTGACAGTCGCCTCGTTTCAATTCTACATCTGGCGCCTGGTCAGATGTTTCACTAAGGAGCACCCTTTGGGAGGAGCCGTCTGAGTTTGATATCATAGCAGTCTGTTTCGTTCTGGCCATCACGTTCTGCATAGACACAGATACAGTCGGACTTTGTATAAAGAGCAAAGATGGGTCCAGAAAAGGGCAGGCGGCACTCCTAGTCCTAGATTCAGCCGTCCCCGGTGACCGGCTGATCACTAACTTAGGTCGTGTCGTGTGCTTCCGTGGTGCCATTTCAAAAAATAAAAAGAAAATTAAGAGTAAGAGAACTGAGTTACCTGAACGAGTGACGGTTGATGAAGTCCTGGAAGTTCGGGTCAGTCGGCTTGTCAGAACAGGCGGTAGGCAGAAAAGGTCCGAAATGTCAGAGCAAGTTCAGGGGTCCGAATGTTCTCGCAAAGTTCTCAAATGTGAAAATGACCGAAGTCAGCACTTCCTTATATAGGCAAGGTGAGAAGGCGAAAGGTCGCTTCCAAATTCAAAATGTGGGCGGGAAAATCTCTCGGCCGTTTGCAAGATGACACCTGTAACAGGCCGTCGCCTGTCACCGTGCGACACCTGTCACAGGCGACACGTGACCAGTCACGTGCCACCTGTGAGGGGCAAATGATTAGGGGATTTTTATCCACCAATCACCGTCTGACAAGTGGACCAACCAGGTTCCGCCACGTGTCCTTCACGAAGGCCAACAGGAGCCTGCCACGTGTCAATCACAGATACGTCCTCTACGGACCAATTTAGACACGCCACGTGTCCACTCATGCCAAATGGGAAAACCGGCCATCAAGGCCCAATTCAGTCTAGAGGCCCGATCAGCCCTAGGTTTACCTTAAACCTAGAGAGTGGCACGCTTCTCAAGGCTATAAATACTCAATTAATCCTCATTAATTAAGGAGGGAAAAAAGTAATCAAGCAGAGAAGAACAGAGTTATTACGGAACATCAACAACCGGCTAATCTCGCTAACGACGCAGATTACCAATACTAAGCACTCTCACCCAGAGAGATCTCATTACTTTAATTTCTGTATTGATTACTCCTTAATCAGGTGCTAACTTGACCGTTGGAGGCGGAGCTCTCAGGAGTCTCCGTTATTTTGCAGGTACAGGCGTCCGGTTCCAGTCTCGGAATTGTAACTCTCCCGCAGGACATCAGAAAACCCCGAAACAGTCTCCACCTAATATTTTCTTAAACTCTGTGCACAAAAGTGTATCAATTATTCTGAAATAGAGGGAGTAGTTTATTTATTTATTTATTTATTTATTTTCATGTTTTACTACCCCAGAGTTTAAAAAAAATATGGAATACCTTTATTTTATGTGCTCAAAAAACAAAGTGTGTCAATTATTCTAATTTCAAATTTGCTTAGATGTCAAATTGATCCATTATTTTGATTCAATAAATAAATTTTCTAATATGCATATCTATAATTATGGCAGGCTGTCGAAAGTATAGTACCATGTCAATTTGCACATACTAAAAACAGGATCATTAAGAAATCAAACGGAATTGTAACAGACGTAATTGAGGAAGTGCCACGAGAAATGTATACAAGAGAACACGCAAACCTAAGGAAAGAAGGGGAGGAATGATGGATGAGGGGCACCGCGAACTCATGTATGCTGGTCGCTGCTCTTGTAGCTGCCATGGTCTTTCAGGCCGCCCTTCAAACACCGAAAATAGACAACGACAACCTCAAATGTGCTTTCGTCACCTCGTTTTCATTGGCCTTGTTATCCTCGACTGCCTCAATCTTAACATTTCTAGCAATTTTATGTTCAACGTATGCGGAAGAGGACTTTCTAGTGTCACTCCCACTTAAATTGATTGTTGATCTTGCAACGCTTCTCTTCTCAATACTAACAATGTTGTTAGCTTTTACTATGGCGATCATCATGCTATCGCCTAACAAACCGGGTTGGATAATTGTTGCTGCTTTTGCTTGGATTGTTGGTGGTGTCTATGTCTGGTTGCATTTTCCGCTGTTGGTTGTGGTGTATCGTTCAACCTTTGGAGCAAAGTATCTATTTCGTCCTCAGTATGAACTACTTCGAGATTAATGGACGACTCTTGCTTAATCCATATAGGACTATATGATTAATTTGATCGAGACAACCACAAGTCTAGTACATCCTAAAATGTGCTTGGTGAGATTCAACCCGCCAACTATTCTAGCCTCTTATCTTGTATCACTAGGTAATTAGGTACAAGAAACTTGTGTATGTACTATGTAGTATGTACTCCGCAGAAGTATAATTGTAAGATTGTAACTAAACAGCTAAACTTCACTGTGCGCCTAAACATGGATAAATAGACGCTTTGGGCTAGGTTTTTGCTAAATATAATTATTTTGGGCTTGAACCAAAAATCTAGTAATAACCCAAATAAATTGGGCTGAGCGCCTGGGCCTAATACTTGGGATTTCGAAACATTTTGTACACGGAATTCGGACGAGGTCAAAGTTAGCGCAACTTTAAGGGCATTTTATATCCGGTTTCGAAGTGTGATGTATGGATGAATGTGTGGGAGGGTCTGTTCAGCTTAATTTAGTTCAGCTCTAATTAATTCAGTTCAGTTTAGCTCATAATTTCCTTCTCTCATAAAATATTCAATTTAGCTTCAAGTTCAGTTCAGTTTAGTAAATATGAACATGTCCTAAGTCATGTTTTTTATTGTAATGAAATTAAGCTGTGAAATTCATACTTATTACTTTATATTATCAATTTGGATAAAATTAGAAAGAAGTGGCTTAAGAAATTGTATAATTAGATCATGTTAACCAATGAAAAACTGGTAAGTGAAATTAATATACTAGTATATTTTCCTAGTGATTGGAGAATGTTAACAATTACTTGCAATTTTTAAAGCCTTAGTTCAATAAAAATTAATAAAACTTTATTTTGAAAAAATAACTTTATTCGCTAATAGACAAGAAAATAATAGCCAAGGTCTTGTCACACATTCAAGCGAAGACTTGCTTGACAAGACAAACCCAAATCGTCACCCAGAAAAGACCTCAGCCAACAACTATAACACCAATTATCCAATAACAACACAAGTAAACTCAGAAATAGTACATTAAAATTTTAATAACCAGTATTAAAATCATCAACTACGTATTATTCCCTACTTTTCATCTAATCCGACAAGTTTAATGTATAATTATATGGAATTTAAAGTTCGTTGACAAACCGTACAATGTGTCCAAATTAAAGTAAATTCCTTAATTGTTATATATATATACATCACTATATGCCAAATGTTCATTTAGGTAAGCTTAATTGTACTACTAATATTATATAAGTATATAATTAGTAAGTTGAAGCTAATTAATCTACTATATACACATACAAATATACAATCTTCGAGTCTTGGTTGTTAATTGTCACAACGCAATTGCCGAATGCAGTGCTTATAGCAAGCTAAGTGATACTAGTTAGTTATAATTGACTAATAAATGGCGCCAAAACAAGATGACGTCGAACTTGGGTTCATTGATAATCCTGATCAACAGTCTGGTAAGTTTATATACACATACGTTGGGAATTTTTTTAATTTAAAAAAAAAAAAAAAAAAAAAAGAATTCATGTGTTTTGACTTTCATTGATATTGAGTTAATTTTTACAAGAGTGAGTTGTTGATGCAGCCAATGAAAGAGAGCTGCAGCAGTACAGCAAGGGCTATCGAGTACGCTTATATAGAGCGGCTCTATGTGGTGATTGGGAGGTTGCAAAGGAAATCCATGATAAACATGAAAATTGTTTTATGGAGTTGATCTCGAGAAATGGAGATACTGCTTTGCACATAGCAGCAGAAGGCGGACGTTGTCATTTTGTCATGGAATTACTACGAGTATCCCAAATTACAGCTACACAGTTGGAGTTGCAAAATAAATTTGGTAATACTGCTTTCTGTTTGGCTGCTGCTTCTGGGGTGGTTGAGATTGTGGAGGAAATGGAACGACGAAATCCAGAGCTGCCAAACATTCCTGGAAACCAAGGCATGAAACCTGTTCTAATAGCCGCTCTACTAGGTCATGGGGCGTTATAACTCTATTTTAGTATTAGGCCTCTATGGCCCAATTTTAGTCCAAACCCAATTTATGCCAGTCAGGCCCATTCCTTTATGCAAAAAGTGACCAACCTATCAAATCAATCATTGCAAGGTTTTAGATAATCTATCCATAAGAACATTTAAATTGTACACTGCAATAATATAGCTAATATCATTAGTATGCTTAAATTATTTGTTTCAGTTACCAACTTATGGAGGGAGCAACAAGAAGATCAAGCTAAACTTGAACTGGTTGAACGCCTTTGGAAAATAGTAATACAACAACCTCATGAGAAAATATCCGAGATTCTATCTCACCCTCAGCCACCACTGCTCTTCGTGGCTATAGAGTTAGGAAACTACGAGTTTGTGACCACATTAATTCGCCATTACCCGGACCTGATATGGGAATTAGATGAAGAAAATCGAACCATATTTCATGCTGCTATTCAATGCCGCCAAGAAAAAATCTTCAGTCATATTCGTCAAATAGGTAGTATTAACCATTCACTTGCAGCTTACAAGAATCCTAATAATGGGAATAATATTCTTCATCTAGCAGCCAATTTGCCTTGCACTGATAGACTCAATGTTGTTTCTGGGGCTGCCCTTCAAATGCAACGCGAACTCTTATGGTTTCAGGTAATTTATTTTCTCCAATTCTCTTATCGTTTTAGTTATTTGGTCAGAAATATTGAAAATTTTACAGTTGTCTTGTCTTTTAATGTTTTAATGATTATATAGTTCATATTTGACATATTTTTTCTTTATTGATGTTATCCCATATAATTAAACCCCTGAATACTTACTTAAGAAAGTGTGTAGATTGACTTAATTAACCCAAAAGATAGTATTAGCACGTCATAAAAATAAAAGTAATTAAGAGAAGATTGGTCTAAGAAAATTTGATTTAGGGACGGATGGAGTATTTAAAAGCTATTTCATCCGTAATCAAGCTTAATTAACAGCTTAAACTTGGTGCACACAGGCCGTTAAAAATATTGTACAACCAGAATATGCTGATGCAAAAAACAATCCACCAAGCTCAAACAAAGGAAGATCTGAATGCAAAGAAACACCTCGAACATTGTTCACTAGAGAGCATAGATTGCTAAGGAAAGAAGGGGAGAAATGGATGCGAGACACAGCAACATCATGTATGGTTGTAGCAACACTAGTCACAGCAGTCGTCTTCCAAGCAATCTTTCAACCACCTTCACCAAGTAATAATAACCAAAACAAAAAGTTATTTTGGTTGTTTGTAGCATCGGATGCATTTTCTTTATTGTCTTCAACCGGCTCGATCTTGACATTCCTTTCCATCTTGACATCAAGGTACGCCGAGGAGGATTTTCTAGTATCGTTACCTCTCAAATTAATAGTTGGGTTGGCGTTACTTTTCTTCTCTATAATGACAATGTTGTTAGCCTTTACCGTGGCTATTGTCATCATCTACCCACATCGAATGTTATGGATAACTATCGCTATCCTAGCATGGATCATTGGTAGCTCCTATATTTTGCAACATCTTCCATTGTTGGTTGAGGTTTATTGTTCAACATTTGGATCTAATTATATTTTCCGACCTCAACAAGAGCTCTTTCGAGATTCATGAATTAAGAAGCGAATGAACCTCGAGGGTTTCGAGACTGTTTATAGGTGATCAGATTCATTTTCTGGCCGTAAATGACGGGCTAACTATTGTATGAGCTACATGTAATAGAGTCTATTGTATCTTGTACTTTGGCCCATGCCACAAGTATACATATACCTCTGTTCGATAATAAGGATACGCTTTGATTTTTTTACCATTTTTTTAGTATTATACTTTGTATGTAAAATGATTTAACATATGTAGTATAAGATTTTGTTTGATTATCTTAATGAGACTTTTCAATGGCTACAATAAAATTGTACCCATTGTAATTATTTTTAATCTTGACCCTTTGAATTTTACGGATTAATATAGTAGGTTCGTGTATTTTTTGACATAAAAATATAACTAAAAAAATGTATTTCTTACTAAAACATTGTTTTGTCGCCCATTTATGGTTTCTCTGCCTCTAAACTAAGAGACATCTACTTCACATCTCCATCAAATATGCAATGAGGCATATAAGCATACAGGTTGATTAGGTAATTAAGAATTAACAAAGGGTAATTGGATTATTAAACACTCATCATCCTACCTTTAAAATAAATCACTCAAATTCGGATCGGTTACGGATCGGATTTTCGAATTCTCAGATAATTTTTACAGGCCTAATGTGTGAGGATTTGTGATGTATTTTCATAAAACAGTAATCGCAAATGAATAAAATGATGGAGCAAAGCAAAGTACCGAGTAATTTAAGGATAGAAACTGAACGAACGTGTATAATAGGTTTTTCATTTTTTTTTTTTTTGTCAAATTGCTTTTGTAAACCACAAAGTAATCAAAATTAAAGGTTTGAATTAGTCAAAATCTAATAAACAGCTAAGTTTTAATCTAGTATAATGGCTACAATTTTATTGCAGCCATTTGAAAACTATTTATAATGAAGTATTATTATAAAATAATAATCGATGTGCTTTGATTTTTTTATTTTTTTTTTCAGTTTATATTTTTTTTTATGTTTTTTTGCTCATTTTAAAATATAAAAATGAGCAAAATATTATGAGTAGAAAATTACAAATACATTTTATGGTATGTTTGGATATATTGATTTCATTTCAAATTCTGGATTTGAGTCAATGTTGTTGTTTGGTAAACTGCAAGAATTTGGATTTATATTTGCTTCAATTCCAGGACCATTAAACATGGCTCAATTTGATAGAATTTCAAATGCTCAGTGAAACCCTGAATATCGATGGGCATGTATCCTCGTCTTTTCCAAAATGAACAAGTGGTCAACATTTATGCAATTTGCTTGTCTCCATTTTTGCAATCTTCTCTTTTTTAGTTGCTTTCTCTCTCCTCTGTTAGTAACAGAGCTTCATTTAAATGCATTTTTTCAATTTCTTTTCCATAATTTTTATAAATTATAAAGTCAACATCTTACGTAAAATTTCTGAATTCCAATTTCTAAAGTTTCCCAAACACATAAAATAAAATTTTAATTTCAGAATTTGGAATTCAAGAATTGAAATTTAGAAATAGAAATGAAATAAAGATAACCAAACTCAACCTTACGTGGATGCGTATAAATTTTTTATTTGAAGTCATGGGTGTTATGGTGTGGCCGGCCGGTGTCACAATCAAGGATCCAATTTGGCCAAGTAGCAAGAAAAAAGAAATGATCTGATGAGTCAATATAATGTCCAATTGACTTTAAATAATTGCTAATTTGAATTTTTTTAACATACGCTAGGATACCTTACGATCATAGATGTCATGGTTGATTAAGTTTCATTTTCACGTTTCAAGCTCTCTATTTAAGCATCTACTATCGGTCAACTAAACCAGCCTCGCGAGTTCATGATAATTAATCAACATTGCTAGCATCAAACAATGGAAGTTGGACAATATTGTAGTTTCGAAACTCAAATACAGGATTTACTTTCTGGTATGTTTTCTCATTTTCTGTACCGTCTCTCTTTCAATTATTTTGTTATGGATAGACAAATTTTCTCTATATAATCACGTATTAGTATTTCGTGAATTTGATATGCCTCTCTAATATGTATATACTGAAAAACCGAATCAAAATGAAGAGGAAATATGGGATGAGTACTTAAATGGATTATTCCTCTATGGCGCTGCACTAAATGGAGACTGGAAAACTGCAAGAAAGCTTCATTCAAAGCATCAAAACTGTTTCGCCGCAGTGGCAAGAAGGTCTAATATTGTGGTAGATTTCATGAAAATTGCAATTGAAGCTTCAAATGACTTGGCCTCGATCAAGAACTCAAGTACTTTTTGTCTAGCCTTGGCATCTGGAACTGTTACTGCTGCGAGGGAGATGATCCGTGTCCAGCCTGAGCTGCCACTGATTCGAAGTCATAAAGGTTTGACGGCATTCCATATGGCCGCTTTGTTAGGCCATAGGGAGATGGTTAGGTACCTCTTACCACTCACTCTAGAGTATCTCTCAAACAAGGACCTCGTTGATCTCTTCATTAGTATTATCAACGAAGAATTTTATGGTATGTAACATTGTTACTATGTACTCCGTATATATATACTTTCTTCACTCGTAATGATGTTAATGCTTTACTCTTTAAAACTTGCAAAAATAAAACATTGAGCAAGATTACCAAAGTAACATTGTGAAAATTGATAAAAATTCTATATGTTCTAAAGAAATGGATTGGAGGTAATATATAGTCAATATAGAGTACAATCAGTATATCTTACATGTAATTAATTTGTGGAACTTGTCTGAATTTTATTTTAGTTTGTGGTTGATAATTTGTTGTATGTTTGCAGATTTTTTTTTTCTTTTAATAGAGAGTTTGTAGATCCTTTCGATATAATGGACAATATACTACTATGTACGAATAAATGCAGATATAGCCTTTGAGATCCTAAACAACCGTCCTGAACTGGCGCTGTATGATAACGACGAGACACCGCTAGTGTTGCATGCTATGGCGAAAAGACCGTCGCTAAAGTCAAATGGAAGTCATCGAGGACGTCGACTTAGCATCTGGAGCGACTGCTGCAACTTTTGTTAGTATTTTTTTCCTTAAACTTTAATTTGCTTGTAGTACAAATATAATTTATTTACTTTGCTTAAAAAATTAGAATACTTGCTTTATCTCCATCGGTGTTTATACCAAGTAATTGAACTGTATATTCAATCCCGTCTTCTGATACAGTAGGTATTCCCCTCATAAGAAGGGTTACCTGGCTAATGTTTTCCTTTATTTCTTATCAAAATATGAATAAAATTAAGGAAAATTTGTCAAAAAAAAACCTTTTAGATGTACCATGTTGTGAAAAAAAATCTTTAAAAAGCTTTTTGGCTAAAGAAAACTCTATTTTTAACATTTTGGCAAAAAAAAAACCGAATAGGCGAATATAACTTTTTTGTTGAAAACAACCAGTGCCTCCAATCCACTTAATTAACTTCTAATTTATTCTAATTATCATTTTAACACTAATTTAACTATTTTATAATTAAATTAATTCATAAAAATAAAAATAGAACAAAAACCACCACCTTCCTCGTTTTCCCCCTCCCCTTGCAGCAACTCTCCTCCCGACGCCACCTACGACCCCTCTCCCCGGCGACTCACCTCCATCATAGGTCAACTCCCCTTTCCCCCTTACCCTCGGCTTGCTGTAACCATCCACCTCCCCCTCCTTTCGAACATCTACCTCTCATTTCTCCCTCAAACACTCTCAAACACACTACCAAAATTAAATAATTGAAGTGCATATGTTTATCAATAATGAGCATACAAAGTATACTATAAGCATGCTAAGCTTTATTTAATTATTTACCATGTATTAATTAGTAGACTAAGAAATTATATAGTTTATACATCTAAATTTAATATTTCAACAGTTAAGAGAATTGGAAGCCGTAAGGAAAATGATCTACAATTGTTTAAAGCTCTTCTACTGGTAGTACGTTTATGGGATGAAGTTTTGAGGCATCGACGAGATTGCAATAGCCAACCAAAACTGATGAGTCCACATCCTTGGAAGCTATTGTTTATTGCAGTAGAAGTAGGCAATACTGAGTTTGTGACAACGATACTTAGTTCTTATCCCGAGCTGATATGGAAACTGAACGACGAACATCAAAGTATACTTCATGTTGCAGTTCAGTATCGCCGGGAGAAGATTTTCAGGCTCGTTATCGAGAAAGATGTCGTCAAGGATTTGCTTGCAAATTGTGTAAATGACATTAATGGAAATAACATCCTTCATTTAGTTGGCCTATTGTCTCCTGATATTTGTTACGGGTTTAGACCATCAAATTCAGCCTTTATCGTGATGCATCTAGAGATGCTATGGTTTAAGGTAAATTACTTATCTTCTTTACTCTCTGAATCAAAATTAGTGTACATCCTTAAAATCTACAAATATCTAAATACATGATCAGGTGGATAAGAACATAGTAAATGTCAAAACTAATCAAACAATGAAGTACTACATAAGCTTATTGTTCATGGATATAACTTTCAATCGATGCCAGGCAATTGAAGATCTTGTACAGCCCCACCTTGCACTATCTCGGAATTTTGATGAGGAAACACGCGTACTTTGTTTACCAAAAAGCACCAAACTCTTAAGAAACAGGGAGAATATTGTATTGCAGGTACTGCAGAATCATGTATTAATCCTGTCGTCCTAGTCACTTTTGTAGTGCTGATTGCAGCACTCAGATCGTTTGTAAAACCTTTCAGTCACGGGGCATGGTATTGGGTATTTGCAATATTTGATTCTATGTCCTTGTTATCGTCTATTACTTCAATATTCGTGTTTTCATCAATCTTAACTTCAAATTTCGCTGAAGAAGATTTTCTCCACTCATTGCCTCGTAAGCTATTGGTTGGCCTCACATTGCTCACCATCTCAATAGCTACTTCGGTGATAGCACTCGCAGCAACACTTCCGTTTATTTTTGAATTTGGCTGGCTCTATCTTGGCACTTCTGGCCTCGCTTGTCTTCCAATCATCGGCTTTGCAGGAAAGGATCTCCCTGGATTACTCGAGGCTTATCGTTCAATTATTGAATGCAACTTCATTTTCAAGCCTCAACACCATCAACTCTTTCAATAGATTTGATCAGCTTAATAACAGCAAACCCATCAAACTACAACTTTTAAATATGATGAAACAACATAGTTTTGGGAGCATGTATTCTATTTCTATTTGTAATAATGTATTCAGAGTATCATTATTTAATCTTTTATTCTGTATGTCCTGACTCCTAAACTTTTAA